GCAGAAAAGCTGAAACGCATGTAAAATAAAGCAATGCGAGTCATTTTGTAATGTACAGAGGACAGGCCAATCGTATGCACGCGGCACATATTTCCATTGCCGTCCGTACATGAATTATGCAAGAGGCTATATGCGAAAATGTACCTTAAAATCTCAGCGGACAAGGAACTTCTCCTACATGAGGATTTGAGGGATAGCAAGGGGCATCGGCTGAAAATAGGTAGTTCTTGGATGGCACAGGCAGAAATCAAGATCAGAACTGTTTGTGCTACTGACAAAATAGCGCTCGGTAAAGAATGGGTTACAGTGCCGATCAGCTAAACGGAATGTTAAAGAGTGATAATTCCCTTGGACCAAGGGTGCCGGAAATGGATAGCTGGTGAAACAGTCCTCTGTGGCATGAGCTAATCAATGAAAATTCATTCCTAGGAAAATTGTTAAATTAATACAGATGGATATATGGTAAGTTGCAAAACTAGTGGGTGGTGTTTTATTGCAAATAGACACCGAAACAAGAGAGTCTCGAGCATTACGTCACAACATCTAGTTTTGGAAAGGAGGCGGAGAAAGTAACGGCAGCTTTCCAATAGCTCGAGAGCTGCAGAGCCCAAAACGTGGTTAATGTAACGGATTCACAGAGAATGTTTCGGAACATAGGAACTGTTCTCCTACACATAGTGGCTTGCATCGCTTGACAAGGCTCGGACCAAGAACATATCATGGATTTTATGTTCAGGATATCTGGATGGGCGGTGTAATGAGCAGGCGAAAAGACTGACTTATGCAGCTCCTCTGGGTGGTGAGCTTCTTTATGATAAAGCGGACGCGGTGAAAGCGCTTTTGGATCAAGTAGACAGTGCATTGGAACGAAGCGAGTATTCATACATTGACAGACTAATTCAAACGGGGATGAGCAGAGGTTCCGGAAGATAAACATCATTTTCACGTAACAGGTTCTTTGAAGAACGTCACTTTCATCACGGTCGGCTTGTCAGCTCTCCCGCACTAGCATAGCCAAAGAGTCCCTTTTATTGTGTGCCCATCTTTGTGTTGCCCTCCTCCCTGCCCCTGCTTCTTGGTACCACGCCTTCTGCTATTATTTTCCAATTCGCCATGGCGCTTGTTACTGCCACAGTATTTCAGCTTCCGATACAAGATTCTGCTTATTTGTCAAAAATTGATATTTATGTCTTTAAGAATGTCATAATTTCTTCTCCTCTTTGCCCATGATATTCTGAGTATCTTTCTATAGCATTTCAGCTCACAAGCTTATGTCTCTCTGTGTCCCCCTCCCCCCTAAGGAGTTGGGGATAGTCCGCGACTCACATCCGCAAAATGCAACAGGGAAGATGCATTCTCTCAAAATTGTAACTTAGATTTCCTTGCTGGTACTTACCAATAAACTTTAAATGCCGTTAAAGTATATTCAACACTGAGGGGAGGGGGGGGGGGGCAGGCGAACTTTTAAAAGAGACTTCTTCACATGGTGGTTTGGGGAAGTCCAAGTCCTTTTGAGAAAAAAAAGGTTTTGGGGCATTTATACATGTTTTGGGAGGAAAGAAAGGGGGAGGGAGGGGGAGGCAGCTTAGCAACCCTAAAAATGTATCCTCATCCTGGCCTTGCATATGTTCCTTGTGGTTCAAGTTACCTGATCACATAAGTCTCGGCGCGTCTAATAGTAGAGGATAATAACCAACACGCCACGATAACACCACGTTTCTATACTCTGTCATTTTTAGGCGAGATGGAGGAACCTTAATGACCCCGAAATTAGATGTAGAGTGACAAATTCTGACGACTTAAAACACTGCACCGCTCTCGCATCATGCGTCCTTTAGGGTTGTTGAAAGCTAACGGCTGACCTATTTAAACTTCCGGAGCCCCTTAACGTACATGTACACGTCAACTACAATGAAAATGCATCCTGTTGGCCTCCTTTTCTCCCACGCAATTTCTTGCGGGCTTTTCCTGGGTTCTGCCTCCCCGAGCTCACCCTCCCCGTCAGTTGATAACGAGACATGATAGTGGTGTTCGTTGTCGTCTAGGATTACAGTCCACAGGATTAACACCTTAAAAATGAGAATCAAATATTGGCAACTCCTGGAAACCTTGCCTAACCTCACAGCAGTTGCGTAAGGGACCACACAATTAACAAGAACGTGAACACAAATATAGGGGTGGGGGAAACAAAAGTGGCATGCGGAAGCGAACCATGGGATACACCGGCAAGGTGCGTTGTGTCACGTGATCTCCTAACGCGCGAGTCCGCGTCAGCCATTTGTGAAAACCGTTGTGTTTTGGGATAGAGTATCAAACTTGTAAACAAACAAAGTACGTGTTTTAGTTCTTGAAATTTAACGTAATCATGTCGTCTAAGCAAACTAAAAGAACCGTCACATCGACGAGCTATTCTGCCTCAGCTGGGGAAGGAGCTAGTTCCAGCTTTAGCTCTCCTTCCAGCCGTCGCTCTGGCAGACCGCCATCACCAGCCAGGCTTACCCGCATGCAAGAACAGGAGGAACTTCAGGGATTGAACGATCGTTTGGCAGCTTACATAGATAAAGTTAGGAGCTTGGAATCGGAAAATAGCCGGCTTGCTTTACAAGTAAGATCTACCGAAGAGGTTGTCAGAAGAGAAGTGACCAGCGTTAAAACACTCTACGAATCGGAACTTGCTGAGCTTCGCAAATTACTTGACGAAACTGCAAGGGAGAAAGCCCGTCTTCAAATAGAAGCAAATAAATACAGGGCAGAATATGAAGACCTGCTGGCAAAGTAAGTATGATTATACGCATCGCTGTTACTAATTCAGATTAGGAAGTACTTTAATTTTAGTGTTTATTAATTGGGATTCATATATTCTATCACCGGCTCGGGCGTGGTTTTCTTACGGGAATGTGTACATAATACAACACAACCGGCAGTCGTTGAATGCGTCATAAGGGACGCTGTTGCTTGGGTTGCTCCTGCTATTTTTAGTTTTCTCACACACAAAGTCAGAATGGGAAGTTGTAGAAGTACTGAAACTAATCATATTTTGAAAACAGTATAAGTTGAAATTGCAACAATAATAATTATTATATTAATAATTTATTGTCCTTTGTCCACTGTTTGTCACTCATTTACTGACTAGACTAGTATTAAATAAAAGGAAACAATCATTTGATGTATAGAGATACACTGGATACAGGTACATTACATCAGCATGCAGTCATCCTGCATACTTATTATACTTATACATTTATTTGGAAATGGGTGTTACTTTTTATTTCATGAAGTTTTTTTGTTTTTACTTTCAGTACTTTCATAGAACACAAAATATTTCCAAGACCTGAGACTGTTATGTATATGAGATAAATAATTGAATGAATTGTCACTCTTCTGTCAGAAGTGACGAGTAGCTCCCGCCCCCCTCCCCATTTGTATCTGTGTTCTCAATTGCTCCTACATACACTCGTAACTCCACTTTCTCAGTACTTGGTCAATTGTTGTATTGAAATCCGTTACCTTTTAGTCTTTTACTTGTCCTGTGAATTTAGTCTTCTGATATCTTAATTTTCCTTGTTGCTCTATTTCTTAAATTAGATATTCTAGTTTTTGAGTTGGTGATGCACATAATTCAAATGAGCCTGTAATAAAGTTTTGTCTCTAATGAAATTACGGTTATTCTCCGAATAACGGTCCTAAATTATCAAGGCGGAAAATATACCCTAACAGGGCTAAACTAGATGGCTAGGACTCAAGAACAAATAAAATGAAGGAAGCTGCAGGAGATGGAGATGCGGTAGCTGCTGCTCATGAGTCTCAGCCATCTAGTTTAGCCACAATCCACGCCACATGAGCTGCGTGAGGATACTTTCGGCGGTGGCGAAAGTCGACGGGAGCGCGCAATTTAAGACGGAAGTGAGCAATTGACACGTGACTGAGGCCCTGTTAGGGTATATTTTCTGCCTCGATAATTTAGGACCGTTATTCGGAGGATATCCCAAATTACAAAGTAAATTGTGTCTGTCTCTAAAATTTTAAATCTATCTTCTGACATTTTTACCGGGTTAGGCTTCCCAGTATCATGGGACATTCTATAGCTTTATTTTTGTGGTGTCTTTGTCATCCCCTGATGCACAGCTGTTGTCCCTAGAGGACCCTACAGAATAGCCATACGCAGACTAGTCAGCCTTTTAAGTAAGTCAGGCGCAGAACTTGGGCTTTCTCCGCCATCCAAGGAGGCTTCCATAAATTCATAGCCAATAAGTGGCTCTCTAGTGTTGGTCTCACTTAAGGAGTCATCATGTCCTGTGCATGACTGCCTAATTTTGCATCCATATATTGGGCATTTCATTTAGAGATATTAAGGAAGCAGTCCACAGACCTGACAGTTTGATTCTTTGCACAGCATGGACATCTCGTTTCCTCAGCATGTTCCTATCTTTGATATTACCACTTATCCAATGGATGCCCCAGTGCACCTTGTGTGGCATTTATGGGAAGCATGCATCAGGCATGCCTTTCTTATATGGTCATTAATTACCTTTTGATGAGTGTAGCTAGCAGTAGTGGGCATTTTGTGTCACAAAGTAAGAACAGTGAGTGAAAGACATCTGAAGCTTTTCTGTCATAGAGTAGGATACTCTATAGACTTCTTCTCTTCTTGGCGTTCAACCTTTCTGGCGTTTAACTGCTAAATTCTAGCAGAAAGTCCTTTTTATTCATCCACTGGCTATCCTCCGAATAACGTTCCCAAATTATCAAGGCTGTAAATATACCCTAACAGAGGCTTATTACGTCATCCGCTGTGGAAGGGGCTAAACTAGATGGCTGGTACTCATGAGCAATTGAAATGGAGGAAGCTGCAGGAGAAGCGGTAGCTGCTGCTTGTGAGTCCCAGCCATCTAGTTTAGCCCCTTCCATGCCGCACGTAGATGCGCGGGGATACTCTCGGAAGGGTATTATGTTGCATTTCGCGAAATGTTCGTACACATTTAATCATACTTTTGCCGCAGTTTATTCGTCGAAAAAATCAGGAGTTTACATTTGTCTGAGGCTCTCTTAGGGTATATTTCCCCGCCTCTATAATTTGGGACCGTTATTCGGAGAATAGCCCACCCACTTATTAACTTAAATTTTGTTCCAGAACTTGGGGTTTTACCAGCACATCCAATTTAACCGATCTGGCTTATTTGAGTGTAGACTGTTGGTTCCTTGCCTCTCAGACAGATGAACTCCAACCTCGAAGGAAACAACCCTGATTAGTCGCCTATTACGACGTACTTGCTAGGGGGCAGTGGGTCTCCTCTTTTTCTCCCCAAAATGGGACCCCTGAACCCAAGTAGCCATTCACTAGGACTCTAGGTTGACCTACGTTTGAACCAAGGTGAAGTACAGGATATCTACTTATATGCAACATACCAGCCTTAACTTTCTCTTATTCCGGTGACTAAAATTACCACGATCTAGAGATTCTTATTCTTTAGGTTAACTGGCTGTAAAAGTTCTGCTTCTTTACTCACCTCCTGAGTTGCTGCTTAGTCTTGTTCCAGAACCTAAGTGTTGCGTGCACATCCATTTTACAGACCTGGCTTGTTTGTATGCAGAATGTTGATCCTTGTCTCTCAGGCGAATACACTCTGACTTTGAAGAATGACCCCCAATTAATCGATTACTACAACATGCTTGTTAGGGAGGCAGTGGGTAATTTTCCTCACAATGGGGCTCCTGAACTCACATGGGCAGATCTAGAGATTCAGTAGTATAAATTCTGCTTTGAAGTCACTAGTGTGATAGGCAGCATCCACACCCTAAATGTCCTAGGTTACAATCGTATAAATATCCGACAGAGTTATATTTCTTGAATGTGGCCTTTTAAGGTATTTGTTACCAGATAGTTTTTGTAAGATAAGATATATTGGGAATATAGGGCTAGAATAATATTTTTAATAGACCAGTCGGCACTGGGTGATGTGGTCAGCATCACACCATTTCTCTTCTGTGTGTGAAGTTGCCACATTGAGTTGTGATTTACAGTTAGGATGCAGAGTGGCAAACATCACTTCAAATGTTCTAGATAGTTAGCATCCTTTGGATATTTTCTCCAGGTCATGCCGGTGTGTTGGGAAATGAGCAGGCAAATACACTGGCCAGTTCTGCACCACTTAGTGATGAACTGATGTATGACAAGCTGGATTTTGTCGGGGCCCTTTGGGAGCGAGTGAACAGTGCCGAGGCACAGATAGATCATTACGGTCTGAGGAGAATGGCTCTGCGAGGATTACAAAGGGATCTGGCCGACGTTCGACACTCAGGGAAAAGGCGAGACGGATATACAATCAAACAGTTACTGGTGCCATCTGAATTTTAACTCTTTGCTTGCTGCTGAAGATAAGGACGGAGCACTTATGGGGGTGTCCTGAGTGCTGTGATGTCATTCCTTATTCAGCATTCATTACAGCTAGGATATGTCATCAACCCAACAGATTAGATTTCAGCAAATCCCTAATTTGTTGTCTTTTACGACATGTCTGTTAAGGTGCATGTAATGCCCCATGGTTGTAACCCCAGTACAACATACCAACACCTTTTTATGGGTGAGTGCAGAAGAAGAATGGAAGGTTACGTGGCAGTCTAAAATTGAAGCTCTCATAGTCATCCTTTGTAGATTTGTCCAGAACTAAAACTAAATTATGTTTCAGATTCAACAAACGGGACCGTGAAGCAAGTGGCTTGGAGCGTCGTGTGCAGGTATTGGAAAGACAGGTAGCAGAAAGCCAGTCTCGGGAACTGGAGAAGGAAAATCAGGTCTGTGATGATTGTACTTTTGCATGTTGTCTGAAGTACTTAATATATGTTTATTTTTTCCCCCATCAAACATTTATCTGGCAGTATCTCTTTAATTGTCAGTAATGTTAGTACATACATTTGTTTTGGGAGAAGCTTTTTTTTATCGCAGAGCCCCAACTGGTTAAAATATCTACCTTTTATACTCACTTAAATAATTTAGACACCGTTGCACAATTTATTGCTCGACATGTTGATATAACTCTAGTAACACTTCTGACAAGATACAGCCATATATGCAAGGCAAAATATTGTGCAATATATTGGTTATGTCAGCATTATTGAACTATACAATAGGAAAACATTGTTTTGGATTTATACTTATGTTTATAATACATAGCAATTGCTATAGCTTTTTTTTGCTTATATGCACAAAAATAGATATACTTTGGGGGCTGTGTGGTCTCAAGGCATGGCGTCCACCTTGAGCACTGGAGGTCCCGGGTTCAAGCTCCGGTGAAGACTGGGATTTTGTCACGTAGTTTTCTAGTAACTTCCCCTGGTCTCTGGGTTGTGAGATCGGATGCCTGTGTGTATTGTTGTGCACATAAAAAAGCCATTGGCAGTTGGAAATCGAAAAGGAGTAGCCTAACAGCGCTGCCGGACAAAATTTGGAGTTGAAAATCTACCCAAAGTATTTAAGGATCCTCACCGGTGCTACGAAGTTCATGCGCTGTGCTGATATTCTTTGGGCTCAGGCTATAGTCAGAAGTAGAACTGAGCACTTATGGGTTACTACCCTAGTGCCGTGATGTTGATCCCTCACCTAAACCATAGATATACTTTAAAAACAATACGTTTGGCAGGAACCAAGAAGTGTAAATAAATAGTTCCACATCGTTAATCACGGGAATATGTAGAGTATTTCATTCTCATTGAATGTTATATTGTAATAAAAATGTGAATACCAAGTAAATATATTGTTATCACTTGCTTACTACAAGATATTTTTTCTTAAAAAGTGAAATTAAGCACAATTCTTGTATTTCAGAGATAGAATACATTTAAACTACCAAACATCATTTCCAAGAGATGAAAAATTAAGTGTTGAAAACAAAATGTGTACTAACTGGGTACTAATAATAATAATAATACATTCCTGCTTAGGCCAACATTTGTCACGTTAACCAAATGTCAAGTATGTGTTACCCAGGATTTACTGTATGAAAACTAAAGCAGATATATTAATAATAGTAAGGGACAGCTAAATTGTCATGTGAAGTAATCAGAAAATAAAGTTATGATTTTCAGTCTTTTCATCTTTTTATTGTATGTTGCCATGAAAAGCAGCAAAACCTACTGTCCCAGTGAGAGTCACATTACTGACTTGGCTGTAATGGCCAGTTGTCCATACACCTAACTTATAGCACTGTCCTCATTTGCTCTTACGTTTGTTAAGACCACAAATGGCTGTGCTTGGCATTTAGTTTTGTTTTGTGAAAAATTGGCTTTATTAGTTAGAAATTATGTTAAAAATTAGTCACTTTAATAGTTTTTTTTTTTTTTGACTCACGGGGATGAGACCCAGTTAAATATCTGCCACTTTCAAGTTTACTGATGACTGCCTGTATTCTGTATGGAATTTAATATGATTTTGGTCAAACAATGGAATTTGTGGGGGGGGGGGGGACCTATGTAAAATAGTTTTGAAAGGAATGTTTTGCTGGAAGTCCGCATATGTTTTTTCTCCCTAGGTCACCAGAGTGACATGGTTAAGTCTGTTTTATTAGTATATATAATGTTTTACTTATCAGCACACATCAGCTCAGCTGTTGAACAATTGTTGCTTACCTAACTAGTGGTTTAGACCCCGAAAAAGTAGTTTCAAAGGTGTGAATATGACATTACCCTGAATTATAGAAACAGATGACAAAAATGTGGGATTATTGTCTAATCTTTGATGTTGTAAATTAGTGTTGAATAAATTAGCTGATTCTTATGCTGGTAATTTGTCTGCTCCTAGCAGTAAAACCTAGTATGTGTAATAAGCAGACCCAACGACTGACTGAACAGTCATCCTGAATACAGACCGGATTGTTTAGAATAATACGTTTAAATTAAGTACATATAAATAGCTACAGCGAACTAATTTCTGCCTATCATTCAAGTGCTGTCTAATTTATAACATTATTATAATAAATAATGTAGATAAATGTGACTGAAGCTCAATAGGGCTTTTGAGTATTGCTCACTTTATATGCAAATTTTCAAAGATGACATTTGCACCTTATATCTTAAACAGAATTTGAAGGCCGACTTGGCTAAACTGGAAAACCAACTGGCTACTGCCAGAAAGCAACTAGAGGAGGAGACCTTGTTGAGGGTTGATTTAGAGAACAGAGTGAAGACTCTCAAAGAGGACCTTCACTTCAAAAGTCAAGTTTATGAGCAGGTAAGATGGAGGTTTTAAAATTTTTGCTCAATAATTTCAGTGTGTCTGTTTCAATTTCACCTCTGATTTACTTATTTTTTTGTAGTGCTTTCCATAAGCTTTATGTTATTGATTGTCGTACCATTTATTCTGTGCATGCACTAGTTAAAGAATATAGTTACTTGTTTTACTCTTTCGTCATGTTTCTGATCTGTAAAACAGTATAATGATTTAATGTAAAAGGTAAAATATTTTGATATTTATGTTGGGTTTCATTTCTTTTGGCTTTCACACATTTCCTACTGCTATGAAAGCTCTTTTGCTTGTGCGTTACTCATACCCATAAAGAAGCAGTGAGTGGTAACAGTGCGTGTCACAGTATGCAGCTAAGGAAACCTTTGGTGTCTTATCCTCTTGAAAAGTTTGCAGCAGAATCTAAGCAACGGTAAACTCTTCTACAAGGATCAAATATGCTCAATTATGAGATAAAAGGCAGAGAAAGAAGAGGGTATTTAAAAAAACCTTTAACAGCTAATAATTTTAAGAATCTGCTGGTCGTATTCATAGTATTCACTTATTGTTTGTTGTGTTCTCAGGAGTTGGAGGAATCCCGCATCCGAACTACCACCCACATTGAAGATGTTGATGGGAGGATTGAGCAAGAGTATGAAGCAAGGCTGCAGGATGCCCTGCGTGAGATTAGAGCCCAGCATGATTATGACTTGCAATCTGTGAAGGTTGAGCTGGAGACCTTGTATGAGAACAAGGTGAGACACATGTGTTTTTGTTGGCAGACATATATATAGTGGTAGCACAGACAAATATTGTTTGAGGATGGCATGTTCTGAATAATGAATACTATATGAGTTAATGCGTTTGCAGTTGATGCATGTAAAAATAGGTAAAGTAAAGGTACCCTTTTTACACGCCAGTGACGCATTGGGCATCTAAGGCTAAACATTTGTTTTTAAAGACTAACCAGCCTTTGCTGGCATTGTGCTGACTGCCTTTACTTCCCGAGACTTTGCGTGTGGTGCTATTTTAAAACTGAGGCGATCTGGTAGCTAGGGTATGTTCTAAAAAAAATCCGGCTCTATGAGGATTTGAACCCACAACCTGTGGATCCACAGACAGCATGAACATACATTAGATGCTATCATTTAATTAGGTGAAGCATTTTGTTTTTTTAAAATAATACTGTTAATTTAGGTTATGGAACAGTAATACTGTTGATTTAGTCTAAGAGACAAGCCAATGGGCTGTAAGCTTAGAGAAGACCAGAGATAACTGAAACATTATAATAATAGCATTTGAATAAACAGACCCATGTCTAAGCAGATATGCAGCACCACACAAAAACCAGTACAGAGATAAATACAGTCTTGTGCACTCAGGAAACCACGCTGGCAGATACAGATTAATACAGAAGGACTTCAGGTCAAGATGGCATAGCATGTGTGTGTTTTATTTTTTGACCAGCATGTTATAGGTCAGTTTCAGACATCCTAGAGTGGAATTTGACTTTCCAAGGAAGTTTGGAGACAGGCTGGTCAAGCAAACCAACCGACAGTGGGTTTTATTTTTTTTACGTGCTCGTTGAAAAAAAGGGGTTTCCCAAAGGCGTTACAAGAGGTCTATTCCAGCTCAGACGCTGTGAGGCATTCCAGAAGTTGAGAAAAAAAAAGAGACAAGGAAGAGGAAAGAAGAGAACATGCTAGCTTTCTTAACTTAATGTCTGTAATTGATTTACTATATTCCTGATGTGGGTTCCGATGCCCCATTTGGGGGGGGGGGGTTAATTGACCCAGTGCCCCCCCCCCACCCCACCCCAAACAACAAGCACGCCTTCCCCATAGGTTAGTATCCTTTACAGGACGTTGCAGAATTAACCCCAGCAGCCCCTGGCTGTTGGTTTCTCTAGGCAAATTTATGTCCAGTAGTTTGCCATTGCTTTCTGGACGGTCGGCCCACTGATACCACTTTAGAAGCCAACACAAGGCGCATGGCCCGCAGCTGGGATCGAACCCGGCACCCCGGCATTACAAAGCGTTCGCATCGACTTAGTCACAGAGCTGACTACCTCCCTCATAGGAGTTGACTAATTAGGGGCTGCCTTCAGAGTTGAGGCAGCAAACCAACAGTCCACAAACAAAAAAGCCAGATGTGTAAAATAGGTGTGCATGCAAAGCTCAGATTCTTGAGCAAGACAAAATTTCCAGAAACGGACGAACAGCCAGATCTTCACCTGAGTTTACAGTTGATGAATGTGATGAAGATTTACCTTCGATATAATTTGTTTTATTTGCTGTTTTGTAATTTTAAAGTAAAATGCCTTTTGTGTCTGTAAAGGGCTGCTAGAGGTTCCGGGTTCAATCCCCGATAAGGGTTGGGATTTTTTAACGTGGATTTGGACTCTAGTAATTCTCCCTGGTCTCTGGGTGGTGAGATCAGACGCCCATGTGCACTGCTGCGCATATAAAAAAAATTCCTTAGCAGTTGGAAATTGCAAAGAATAGCCTAACGGCGCCGCACGGGCAACATTTGGAGTAAAAAATATACCCAAAGTATTTCAGGATCCTTGCTGGTGCTACAGAGCCTGTGCACTGTGCTGAGCTTCTTCTGACTCAGACTTGAGTTAGAAGAAGAATGGAGCACTTACAGGTTACTACCCGTGTGCCATGATGTTGATCTATTTTTCAAACTTGTTTCTGTTAAGTTTAATTACATTATGTTCCATTTAAAAGAGTAGTTTTCTTTAACTCACTTAAGGTTTTATAAAATTGTATTAGGAGGTATATATTTTTTTAAAGGAACCAGTTAGAAGGAGAGTCTTTAAAGCGTGAATGCATCATAACATTTGTTTTGGTGTAATTTTTGTAATAGATCGAAGATCTGAGAGCACAAGCAGCTAGAAGTAGTTCTTCCACCAGTGCTGCATGGGAAGAGCTGACCTTAGCACGAAAGTCCATTGATGATCTTCAGGCAGAACTGAGTAGACTCAAATCAGAGGTTGGTCTTCTATGTTTTAAACCCACATATTAATTGTTGTTTAAGGGCGAATTATTTCCTCAGAATGTTGCTTTTGTGCCATCTTGTTAAAGCGGAGGAACGAGGGAAAGAAGAAAGCAGACTATGCGATCATCTGTGTTATATAAACTTGATGCCTTGTAATCGTTTGCCTTTAAGTATTCCTGCAAAAGTGCTTTTTGTGTGTGCATTTCCAGTAGTTGAGTTTTCACCACAATCTCATTGTTAACAGATAATGGAATATTAACATATTTACTGTCTTCACATGTTAATGGAACCACTTGTTAATTTAAAACATCTCACAGACAGGCAAATAGCATTATATCTGATGGCTTAAGATGGAACATACTTTTTATAGGCTGTAATGCTAACAGGCTTAGCAGTCTCACTATCCCAACATTGGTAGTAATGTACTAATGTTATTAATTGATTTTATATAGCATATTATTAACTTTGTGATTTGTTTGTTTTCCGCTTTAAAAAAAAAGCAAAAACCCTGTCAGCGGAAATTGATTTTTAAATGGAAAACCTTGTCAGGCTGTACTATGTATTGATGCATCTTAACTCCATTGTAACTGGAGGAATAATTGACCTGTTTGATTAAATGGTGGTCTGGGGGAAACGGCGGATATGGATACAGGTCTTTAAAGATGCTAGAGAAAGAGAGACTGTCTGGCGGGCCACGAGGAGAGTAATGTTCTGTAAAGTACATGTTGATTGGTTGATTGCACAATTTCTTTACTGCTATATAAATGATGTCGGATATCTGTTACTGCAAATCAGTTCTGTTTTAACATTGTTTTTCTTGAACAGTATTCTGGCTATGATGCTCGCATACGTGACCTGGAAAAACAGCTGGCTCGTGAACGTGATGATTTCCGCAGCAGACTACAGCAGCGGGATGAGGAAATCAACCACCTCAGAGTACAGCTTGAAGATCTCGAAGTGGAGTATGCAAACTTGCTGGAGATCAAGATTAAACTGGATAGAGAGATTGAAGCATACAGGAAACTTCTAGAATCAGAGGAAACTAGGTGAGTCATTCGGGGAAAAAATATCTCAGAAATAAAAGTTGAAAAAAAAAAAAATAAGGGCAGTACTTCAGATAGAGCTCGTTGCATGATGCAGATCAGAAAGGTGGCTGTGGGGTGTTACATGGCTTGAAGGAGGAAAAGTATATGGCACCTTGGAATTCAAATGCCCCAAAACTCGAACAACTTGGAATCCAAGCACAATTTTCAAGTAATTTTTTGTCCCAGAACTCGAAAGCTGTCTTCGAAACTGAACGCTTTGCACGTTGTGACCATGCAACTGAGCCGAAGAAGGGAAAGCTGGTAGTATTAGCAGTGCTGAAATCCAAGATCTTTTTACCATTGTAAGAAGTTGTTAAGAGGTAAGAATAATCTAGTTTCCATTATTTTCAGTGGAAGAAATTGCATTTGAACCTAAACGATTTGAAATTTGAACGCGGCCTCGGAAATGATTTTGTTTAAATTTCAAGGTACCACCGAATATGAGAATTGGTGGTTTAGAGGGGTGATGAATGTGAAATAAATAGGTGGTTGGGGGGGGGGGTGTAAATGTGAAGTAATAGGTGGTTTAGATGGGGAAAAGTAATATGGAGTAACTAGTGATTTGGAAAGGGGGGCTGTGATGCTGTCAGGAGAGCATGTGGTAAATTTTTTATAAATCATCACAGTAACTCTGGTATGTATTTTCAGACTGCACTTATCTGCATCTGAAAAATCAACACCCACTACAGGGAGCAGTAAGAAGAGGCGACGTGTGGACATCGGACAAGCAGTAGAGGAATACAGTCAGCGCAGTTCTTCTTCAGGTTTCAACCGCTCTGCCACATCTTCTGGTGGTGTTGAGATATCAGATGTTGATGCAGAAGGAAAATACATTAAACTGACCAACACAACTGATAAGGTATGCCTCTTATTCTTTTGATTAGAACCATTCAAACACCCTCTATTCTCTTGAAGACGAGGCTTAAGACAGATCCAACTCTTTAATCCGCGAGTGAAAGACATCTGAATCTTTGCTGTCATTCAGTAGGGCGCCCGATGGACAAACATTTGCACCATTCAGTAAGACTCTGTCAACAAAACCACACAAATTATCATTTAGTCAGATACTCAGCCAGCCGACTTCACACATGCAGTGGGGGTGGGCTGATGAGTGCCAGAGGGTTTCTGGGGACCACCAACTCTGAGATACCCTGCTAGCTCGGTTTAGGCCAGTGGGGCAGAAGTCTTTCATGAGGGTCTATAATACCAGGCTAGAGTCTGCTGGTGCCTAGGGTGAGGTAGAAAGTATGGCGTTGCTTATTAATGCAGTAATTTAAGCTCCACCCTCAGTAATACTGGGATTTGATTTTGTGCTAGCTGGTGTGAGGCTATGTAGTGAGGCAGCTTTTGACTAGATTTAACCAGCAGTTCCCAACTATTCTTACATGCAGAGCTCTTGTTAGAATCAATATTTAATGGTGGAGCCCCTTCAGCCTACTATACCCTGTATCTGACATGGTAAGGGTGTTTAGAAGTAAACGTGACATAAAGTTAGTTTACTCTCATTCTACTCTCACTCTGCAACTAGTGGTAACAAATTCGTTTTGTTTTTTACCTTTTAATTTAATTTGTTTTAATTTTCCTGGTTCAGTCCCTGAACCCCTGGGAGTGCACACACACACACCTTAGGGCTCTGCAGTGTACCAGTTGTGACCTGCTGGATGGAACTTCTAAATATTTTATGCACTTATATAATCAACAGATTTAATTTTATTTGCTCTATTTTATAATTTATATACTTTGGTTACCTTCAAGATTAATAATTAAAGTCTGTAAATTTGTGTAGCGTTCTTGTCATAACATTGTTCTGTTTATTGTATTTAAAAAATATAGGACATACCCCTGAACCATTGGCAAGTCAAGCATGTTGCTGGAGAGAATGAAACTAGACACAAGTTCTCAAAGAACATTATCAAAGCTGGATCATCTGTTACTGTAAGTTTGGCTTGAGTTAGGTTATTTGGTAGTGATTTTTAAAATTTTTTAAAGTGGTTTGCCTTGATTTATAACTAACTGCCTTCTGATACTGAAAAATTTAGTGATAATCACCAGTGCCTGTGAAAAGTCAGAATTATAAAAAGGCGTGAGCTTTGACTGTTGAGTAGCAGTGTCATAATAATGAACATAGTATTGCCTAATACAACCACAGACTGCTGCGGTTGGTTTGTGGCATCCTGTAGTTGAGTTGAGCTTTAATAATTGACATAGCACTTGGGACACTACCCTTCACTCTCCGTTCCCATCTTCAACAGCCAGCGAAGAATTCTCCAACTCCATTGGCAATAACAGTCTGATTGTACGCGCGTCTTGCCTTTGCTCCTAGTGTGGTTTGCTGGCCAGATCCTCCTAGTCACTCCCTGTTTCTTCATTCTTTTCAGACCATGATCGGCATCCAGTAGAGCAGTTGTTCTCAACCTGCGGGTCACGACCTTTTGGGGGTCGAACGACCCTTTCACTGGTGTCATCTAAGACCATCGGAAAACTTATTCACTGAAGTTATTATGTAGCAACAGAAATAAACTATGGTTAGGGGTCACCACAACATGAGGAACTGTCTTAAAGGGTCGCAGCGTTAGGAAGGTTGGGAACCACTGCTGTAGAGGATATGCCACTTTAATGATGGGCAGAATAAATGAACCCCAGTTTTTTTAGGGAGTTAGGATTTGGATTGAAGCATTTACTCTCAACTCCTTTACTCATTCTCTGTTTCTCTCTTGCTCTCTCCATCCCATACAGATGCACTAAATTTACAAATGTCACAAAATCAAATGATCATACTTTTGTTGTTTCATTTTTTAAAAATCAGCTGTGGAGCTCTGATTCTGAACAAACTCACAGCCCTCCCCATGACCTGGTTCTGAAAGGGAAAAAGTGGTTTGTCAGTGAAAACATGATAACTACCCTCCTGGACCAAGACGAACAGGTAAAACCAACTTTTTTTTTTTTGAAAGCCAGGCATTACCCTTTGATGATTGCTGAAAATTTTTAAATGTTTTTTTTTTTAAAAATTGTTGCCGCGAGTATTTGTTATAAACAAGTACAAAACAGTTTAAGTATCTAGGCATATTGGTAACATCAGATGGAAGATATGTCACAAAAATAAAGAGAAAGAATAAGACAGGTAAAAGCTGCATTTTATAAAATGAACATCGTATGCTATAAATCCTTGTCATTGGATGGAAATCTAGCATGTTAAATAGAGCCTGTTTATTATAATAGGTTATTTCATCTGGGTTCGTAGGGGTCCTGGAGACTTGAAATTAAACCTGGAAATTGTTGCCCTGACCGGGAATTTGACCTTGGAAAAGAAATACTGACCTTGATAAACCTGGAATTTTGACCATAGCAATGGTAAAATTAAAGTTGAACGAACTATCATTGTCTGTCCCCCTACCTGCTCCACTTTTTGTTCTCCCTGTCCCTTACTCTTCGTCTGTCACTGTCTTTCTCTCTCTTCCTCATTGTATTTGCCGCTCTCTCTCGCTTCTGTCTCTATACATCTGTCCATCTCTCTACCTGCATTTCTTTCTTGGGGGGGGGGGGGGGGTCTCGTCTTTCGCTCTCTCTCTCCCACTCCCTCATCATGTCTCCATTCCTCCCTCTGCTTATCATCTTTTTACCTCCATCCCCCGTCTCTTTTTCCCTTCTTTCCTCTATCTTCATCTGTCCATCTTTACACTCTCTCTCCCAGGCTACCTCAGCATTTCTCTCTCTCCCTCTCTCTCTCTCTCTCTCTCCCTCCCTCCCTCCCTCTCTCTCTCTCCTTCCTTCATTCCTTCCTTCTTTCTTTCAGGTCCAGAACAGACAGGACTTCAGTTTGCTCCCCTCTACCAACAAATCTACAAAAAATATAAAAATACTATATCCGTGCTGGTATACCCACATCTGTGTGCTCGGTACACCCTTGAAAAAGGCAAAAATACCTTCATTATTACTTCCAGACAACCTTGAAAAAACTAAGGATACCTTGAAAAGCCTTGAAATTGATTGATTTGGCTGTGAACCCTGTTTCATATGACAGTAGGAATCGGTTCCAGACAGACAGCACAAATGAAGAGAAATGAACATTCAAACTTACCAGCTACTACAAAGAAATTAAAAAAAAAAACAACAAACCAGTAATTAGAACCTGGTAATAAACACAGGAGTCAAATAGAACAAAGCAGAGCTGTTGTGTAAAACTACAAGTACAGTGATACAGTCTTGTTGGTGGTGCGTTGATTTCGGTCACATGCGTAAGGAAAGGTTAAGCCCGCTGTGATGTGTATGATGAGTTACTGCGTATTCCACCTCAGATGCCAGCTGGCTGAGAGGAGTTGTACAGATCCTCATGCAAGACTCTTGCCACACGCCAGTGACATGCACCTCATGTTCCATTTTATGAAATGGCTCAGATGCAGACCTGCCAATGGTTCCTCCTTCCAGATCCGGTGTATTTAAATTGGCGTTTTTCAGGAATATTCGAATCATTGGCAGGTCAGCTTAGATAAGCATAAACAGAGTAAGCCAGACATCCTCAGATTGCAACACTCTAGTGTGCCAGTCAGTTTATTAGGGATTGTTTGTTGTCTTGTCTTTTACTGTTAAAATATTGAAAACAATAAAACATTAGCTATGTATCACACTAATTGCAATGAAATACAACATTGTTGCTAGAAAGTGCTATTCAAGCTATGTAGTTCAATTAATTATCAATCAACAGGAGGTGGCAACATGCACAATGACCAGAAACATCAGGAGTGTGTCTTCCTACAGCCAGAGACGATCAGGACCCAGAGACGAGACAGAATCAGGAGAGGTTTGTATTTTAAAATTATTGTTTGATTGGACATGTGTTATTGGTTTGCTGTTGGTCACTTAAGATTGATAAGAGCTGCAGTAATTCAATGCAAATTCATGTATTGGAATTCTTATCAAGAAATCAGTTCTAAAGTTTCCAGGTTGCCCTAACCCAGTGGTTGGCAAACTCTTTAGTCAAAGGAGCCAAAAATCACCAGCAGGATGATTAAATTTTTTTAAGAGCCATATTGCTTTTCAAAACCTTTTACGAACCACATTTTTCGAAGTCAAAACCGATTTGTGGCTGACTAGCCGAGCCACACTCGGATCGCTAAAGAGCTGCATGCGGCTCAGGATCCGCAATTTGCCGACCACTGGCCTAACCTTAAATGGTTCTAGAAAGTATTTTGAGAAGTGAAGGCGACCATCGTGAATTTAAAGTCACTATTGAGTGCCATATTACAAATATGAGGAAAAGTTGCAGTGTTTACTGTCTGCATTTTCTCATGCATGCTGTGATTTAAACTAACACTCAGCAAAAAGAAGACAAAAGATTATAATGTGAGGTGGTTAATGATAGACCAGCAGTCTACTTTGATGATAAAGAGCTGAAGACAGTTGACCATTTTGCGTATTTAGGATCCATAGTGAATAATAATAGCTGGACCAAGAAATAACATTAGAATAGGAAAGGCACCAACAGCAAATAGCAGATTAACAAAAAGTAATTTTAATAATTTGTTTGCTTTTTTACATCGCATTCTGTTTTTGCTTCCCTTTTTTTGGGGACTTAATGTTTTTTTCTTTTCTCCCCTCTTCAGGTTCAAGACAAAAAAAGTGCCGGCTTAGTCTTTCTCCGATAGAAGGGTTTTAAGTTTTTTGCCTTTAGAGCCCGTTTTTAAAATTGAAATTTTTAAAGAGATACTAGAGAAAAAAGAAGTAAGATAATTTTGCAGCATGTCTCCAAAAAAAAGATGCATACTTTCCCAAAAGCATGTTTGGGCTTGTTTCTAGAAAAATTGTTTGTTGACTTTTATGGTTTTTTGTTTTATATTAAAAACTTTAAATTTACAGCTTTTTTTTTTTTAGTGAAACCATCTTTAAATGATAAAACTCAACCGTGATTGCTTTTCGTTTTTTATTTGTTTAAAAAAAAAAGTTTTTTTTAAAAAAAATTTTTTTCTTTTCTACAGCTTTTTAAAAACGTATTTTAGCATATGCAATGAAATTTCTGTTTTTAAAAAGGCTGCAGCAAAATATGATTTTTGTTTGACAATTGATAAGTTTTTTAGACCAGCAACTCTGTTAAACTTTGAAAAAGGGAAAAAAAAATTTGTTGTNAAGGCGCCCATCGTGAATTTAAAGTCATATTGGGGCCAATTACAATTGGGAAAAGTTGCAGTGTTTACTGTCTGCACTTTTCTCATGCATGCTGTGATTTAAACTAACACTCAGCAAAAAAGAAGACAAAAGATTATAAATGTGAGGTGGTTAATGACATAGTTTGTGTTCATTGTTTCTAGAACAGTTGTGTTGTTGTACTTTTATGGTTATTTGTTTTATTAGTTACATCTTCCAAATTTACAGCTTTTTTTTTTTTTAGAATGAAGCCATCTTGAAATGATAAAACTCAACCTGTAGATTGCTTTTTTCGTTTTTGATTTGTTTAAAAAAAAAATGTTTTTAAAAATAAATTTTATTACTTTTCTACAGCTTTGTTTAAAGCGTATTTTAGCATATGCATATGAAATTATTCTGTTTCTAATATAGGCTGCAGCAAAGTATGCATTTTATTGTCTTGACAATTGTATAATGTTTTCTAGACCAGCACACTCTGTTAAACATTTTGAAAAGGAAAACAAATAGTAGTTAAAAGATAGGATTGGTTGGAATTTTCAAATTGTAATAGTTATAAATTCTGTAGACAATACAATAAATCATTCAGCAGACACTGTAACATATTCAGTTTGTTGTTTTTGTCTGGTAATAATTTAGTCTTCATGTCCAGTGTTGTATATTCTTGAGAACATGATCTCTAATACGAGGTAGAGATTTAAACCTGGACTAAACACTACTCAGTGCTGCTAAATCAGGAGAGCTCATTTTGAAAACAGGATAAGTGCATCCAGATGTGTAAATCACATATCGGTGGGTATATACTGGTCTAAAAACTAACCCTTTGGATACCAAGGAAGGCAACACTGTTGATTTATAACTAATTACACTGTCCTCTGGTATCAAAAAAGTAAATTATTTTTTTTTTTAGAACCATGACAGCATTTAGTTAGTAAACGTGATCTGGGTTGTGTTCGTTGGAAATGCAGAGGGATATTTTCTGACATGGCTCTGGAGGTAATTCTGCCTTTAAAAAAAGGGAATACAAAGTTGTTTGCTGTGGAATGAAGGGAATTTACCACCCTACTTCACATGTCTCAGCATAGAATATGTGCAGGCTAAACTTTTCACATCCTTAAGGCAGTATCTACCCTGGGATTACCGTTACCAGAGTTCTGCTGTCTTGAAAGTTTCATGACTTTATTTTGTGAATTTCCTGTAGCTTATTACTTCCTGATAGGCATCTGTGGCTTAGGTGTTGCAAACATGCTTGGTAATGCCGAATGCCGGGATTAATCCTAGCTGCAGACAATCTGGCAGCATGACAGCCTTGCAGTGGTTTCGACAGTGATAAACTACCGAATGTAGTCTTGCCTAGAAAAAAACACCACAACAGTCAAAAAACAGTTGGGTTGGTTCTGCAATATCCTGTAAAGGATACACAGCTAACTTATTGCTTACTGAAGCAGATTTTCAGGGCAGCCCAATGTTTAACTGTTTTCAAAGATGGTACACCATGAGCAGAACCATTTTCTAGTGTAAATGAAGACCACAGATACCACATAAAGTTAGTGATACCTCTTTTGGTTTAAAAAAAACAACCCCCCCCCCCCCCCCCAGTTTACAAGCAAAACATGGATTTCATTAAAAAATCAAGAGTACTCGGGTTGGATTTCAGCTGCAGGCACTTTCACAGCGGACTGCTTTGCACTGATTTCAACAATGATATACAGCGCTGATCGTTCAGAAAGCAATAGCAAACATAAAATTGTCTAGTAAAATCACAGCACGGAGGAAAAATGCAGAGGTTTGTTCTACATCCTGTAAGGAATACACAGCTAGCTGTTTTTTAAATGTGTATCACCTCATTTAATTGAGTAGTGAGGTTTGAAATTTTCTTAGACCTTGTTATGTACCATGAAATGTTGTGTCATTCGTCTTTTTGAATAATGGACACAAGATTGTTGGCTGAGCACACAGTGTTACATAACGTTACATTTGAAACTGGTGTTGAACTAATTTGAGGGCTACTGTGTGCTTGTATAAAGCAGAGAAACCATGCCCACCAGCAGTGTTATTTCCCGCTCTGTCAAACGTGCCACAGTGCATTATCCAAAGACATGTTGGTATTTTCCTCAGTGAAATTACCGGTTGTGATCAAAATAACATTACCATTGCTATGTCCTTCCATTATTCACTCACTGTTTTTCTGAACAGGTTTGGCAGCTTTGTGAAGAATGTTCAGTTTTGTGTTGGCTTGTCTGTTTAGAATGTTCACATGCAGCTCTTTTGAAGTAATGATACAACTACATACATGCATTAAGTTATCCACTTCTTATGTGTCATTGTTATATTCATTTCCACCATTCATCCTCCTGTAGCTACAAGTAATATTTTGAATATTTTATTTTAATTATATGAGTAAAGTCGGATGTCAGTAAAGCTGATGTAAAAAACTTTATTTGTTGACTGCTCACATAAAACTGACCGTATAAAAGATAAAAATGTTGGTGAACATCTGCATGCCTTTGTTTTCTTAAAATACTTAGCTGCATGAATGTGAGTTTATAATTTTTGGTTTAAAAAATGCCAGTCAGTGACATAAAGATGAAATAACACAATGGCAGCTAAACATCTGCGTGTGTATGCAAAAGTATGTAGCATACAAAATGAAAGCCCCTGTGTCAAACCTGATCCCGGGACATGTAAATGAAGTTTTCAACTGTGCTGTTTTAATTTGTATTTAAACCACAACTTCAGGGGGCTATTTTAGAGAAAAAAAAGTTTTTATTAATAGATGAATAAAATGCCATATTCATGCTAATTAATAACCTAGGTAGTATATTGTCTTGATGCTGTACCTTTTTAAATTGATAAGATTAATTTTACATTGCTGCCTTGTAGGTTTATATATTACAAAGAATGGATAGTTTACAAGTATTGGATAGAAATCTGGCTATTCATATTTTATAATTGTTATAAATAATAATCAGAATATTGTGTAGTTGTAAAAAATCACAGCACACAGGATAAGATAAACACAGAAAGGCAACACTCAGTGTAGTCTTAAGGCATTTATTTCTTCTTGATTTTATTTGTTTGGAAAGGAGCTAAACAAGCTTAAGACATGTCTGTTTTGTATACATCGCCCACATGCTGTGTTATAAAACACATTTAAATACACCCTATCTCAGAGAGTCAACATTGATGACGAGATCAAAACTAGAATCTCAAAGGCCAGCAGCAGTTTCAACAGACTTTAATGCAGCGTTTAGAATAGAAGTGGTATCTCTGCTCTGCCCAGGCTGAAGGTTTACAGAGAGCTGTAATTTTTCCAGTACTATTCTACTCTTGCGAGACTATATTAGGTCCATGCTAAAAAGTTGAATCAGTTTCAAGTAGCTTGTCTCAGAAAGCTGCTCAAAATCAAATGGCAAGATAGGATCCCAAACACTGGGTTTTTTTATAAGGCAAACCTGCCTAGCATCCACACGATAATGAAGAATTATCAGCTGCATTGTGCTGGTCACCTAATCCGCATGCCAGACTAGAGTATTTGATGGCGAGTTCCAGCGAGGGAAGAGGTCCTAGGGAGGACAGAAAAAGTGCTAGAAGGACACTGCTCTTAGTTCTTTTGTCATCAACACAGCAACATGGGAGGCTGCTGCACTGGACCGTTCTGGATGGTGTACATCTCTCAGGCATGGTGCATCAGCCTGCCAGGCAGCGGAGGTTGCACACAGGCAGAGAAACGGTGGCAGACTAGAAAGAACAGTATCGTAAATCCCACACTTAATGCGGCTTCCACCTGTCCTGTTGTCCACACTGCTCAATAACTTTCTGGGCTTATATTGGACTAATCAGCCACCTTAGTACTTTATAATCATTGCTACTTTGGATAAAAAGTGGTCTTCCTCACTTATGATGGATGAACAACATTTGAATATTTTAAAACTTGAAAATGTGTAATTGTTTGCAGAAAACTAAATAGAATACATTTCTTTTGACAGTGATTGCTGAGTTTTTCTTCCCTTTATAACTATATTTAGTCTAAGAACAAAAAGTCATCTCACTGAAACGCATTCTTATGCAACATTTGTTATTAATTTTTGTAATTGTATATAAATTGTATTCAGTCTTGTGGTGATAGTCTGTACTTACTGTTCTGTGAATTATTGTTTTAGTTTTTATTACAAGAGAAAGAATTACAATATTCATTCTTATTTCTATCTTTTTAATCTAATAATAAAATGGCAGTATAGTAAGTTCACTTGAACTTCTTTTTGTCCCTCAGACAATTGAAGGTAAAGAATTTCATTCTGCCTTTGCTCTGGAAAAGGGTTTTGAGTTACAGCTGGGCTACAATATTTGTACCTTTTCACTAAATACATTTTGTGAGCGAGTAAACGTGCGGAGGCGCAGACAGATCATTACGGTCTAAGGAGAATGGCGCTGCCAGGAGTTACCATGGGATCTGGATGACGCTCAACACTCAAGGGAAGGGTGAGACGGATTTACAGTCAGAAGGTTACTGGTACCATCGGAATTTGAACTCTTCGCTTGCTGCTGAAGATAGGGACTGAGCACTTATGCGAGTGTCCTGAGTGCTGTGATGTCAATTCTTAATTCAACATTTACCTAAATACGTTTTATTTAGCAAATCCCAATTAGTCATCTTTTACAACATGCTTGTCTTTTGTTTTATTGCCTGGAGTACCGGAGCCGGCACTAGGAGATTTAAAGATTTAGAAGGCAGCATTGTCAGATTACAGTCCATTTATGTTTTATTTGTTTTAAATGGTTCATATAATCTGAATGTCCCTGTGTGTTTGCTTCCTTATATTTATAGTCTGCAATTTGTTCAACTTTCATTTCATAATTTCATAAATACTTTGAAATCTATACATGTTTTTTGTCATGTAAACAAGTTATCACTTTTTATATCTTGTATTTAGCATGGTTATTTTGGTTTTTGAGTGCTCTGGTTTTGTGCATGTATGCATGAGATACAATTGGTTACAGGTCACACTAAATATTTAGAATAGCTTACATGTCAGTAGTTTATTGTTTGACTGCATTTAGCATTACAGCAAAGTATTTTTCTTCTTCAGAAAGACAGTATTTTCCATTATTTTCTTTCATAAGTCTTTCTGCACTACAGGAATTTTTTTAAAATAGCATATTTGTATATTTTCAACATATTTTTGATCATTAAACAGGTTTAAAGTGTGTGCAAACATATTTTAACCTAATTTACTTTTTAAAAATTATTTGGAATCTATGATCTGTAAATATTGACTTGTTTTGCATAATATATTTCGCCATTAGAATTTTGCACACAGCTTCCTATTTACAAGTCCTATTTCTCTAATTACAGTCTATTTAGATGACTTCTTCTGAATTCACTTTTAGAGGACGGTTGGTATTTTGTGTTGTTGTTTACAGATAGGCTGTGATATCTGTACCTATCAGTGAACTCATTCAGTTTCAGAAAATCCTTGATTCTTCTACATGTGTGTTCTTCCTGTCTCCTCACCTGAAGCCCACACAGGGAATTTGTAGCTGACTAAAGTGGTCATTACATATCTAATTCTTTTAGACATTTCTGTATCGGTTAAATTCTGCTATCTGATCTGTTTAGTAGCCTACCTGATGATATGTCATTCATATGGGTTTAACACATCTAGTAAACGTTAAAGTGGTATGACATTTCTCATTTACTGATTATAACATTACCATTATATCCCACAATAAACAGATGTTAAGCTTGCCTCATTCATTAAACTTGAGTTAATGTCATCGGTAAATGTGACATCATGTTATATAACAAATC